ACAAATTCAAAATATGCTAATCAAAAATCCTAATCCTCAAAAAACAGAGCATGGGAAAATAACACTTTCAAAAAATAAATAAATAAAAACCGTATAAATGAGGAGAGAGAAACATGTATATGTATAGGTGCCCTTGAATTGATCAGTTTACATTCAGATAAAACAAAAACCAAAAACAAAAAGCAAAAGCAAAACAAAACAACAACAGATTAAAAAAAAGTTAAAAATCTTGATGAAAAGATATTAAGGTATTGTTTCCACTATGGTGAACAAAATTGTCAGTGAGCATATGTGTTCACTGTCTGTGCCCAACTGATTTTGTTTCTTCTTGAAGGATGAACTGAGTGTGGGAGTATGTGCATGGGCTGTCGAGTTCTTCCATTTTATTGTGTTGCCCACTGAGTTGAAGGTTGTGTTTTAAGACTTCTCAACTTCCCTTCTTGGGAGATTGCTGTGGGTGGGCCAGGCTGTGGGCTGGGTGGCAAAGCCGCTGGCTAGGCTAGGTGGGCCTGGCAGCAAAGTGGCATGTTGGGCAAGCTGGGCTGCAGCTGGGCACCAAAGTGGCTGGCTGTTCCAGGTGGTATAGTGGCTTGTTGAACAGGCCTAGCCAACCTAGGCCAGGTGGGCCAAGTACTAAAGTGGCAAGACTAGTGGGCCGGGTGGGAAAGCCAGTAGCTAGGCCAATCATGCTTGGCTCTGAATTGGTGGGCCAACAGGCTGTGCTGCAGATGGGTGGCATAATGGCTGGTTATGACTGGTGGGCTTAGTTGGCCTGGCCATGTGGAACAGGTCTGGGCAACGGGCCTTGCAGTCTGGTGGTGAAGCTGTGGGCAGGGCCAGGCAGGCCTGGCAGTGAATTTAGCTGCCTGGCATTCTGGGCTATGGACTGGTAGCAGAACTGTGGGCCTAGTAGCTGGATTGGTGGGCCAGGTGGGGGGGATGGGGGATCGGGAGACTGGGGGCTGGGTGGACCAGGTGGTGAAGTAGCTGTGTGGGTCAGGTAGATCTACTGTGAAGTGGTGGGCCAGGCAGGCTGGGCTGTGGCTAAGTGGCAAAGAGGCTGGTTATGTCAGGTGGCCCTAGCAGGCCTGGGCCACATGGATCAGGGCCAGACTATGGGCCTTGTGGGCTGGTGGTGAAGTTGTGGGCTGGGCTGGGCTGGGCTAGGCTGGGCTAGGCTGGGCACACCTGGCAGCAGAGTGGTGAGCAGGCTGGGCTATGGGCCAGTGGTGGAACTGTGGACCTAGAGGACAAAGCATTAGACTGGGGGCTCGAGGGGCTTGGGTGAGTGTCAGACTGGTGGTGCCAGACCTGGTGGGTGCCTAGGACTCAGTGGGTGCTGGACCAGGTGGGCGCCAGGGACAGGTGGCTGCTGGGGACCCAGCTGGTGCTGAATTCAGAGGGTGGCACACCAGGAGTGTACTGGGACCTGTCAGCTGTGCAAATTGGGAGCAAGTGCCCTCACACTTGTTATAGCTGGCCTTGTTAGCCCACAGGAGCCACAGGACTCACAGGGTTGGGGAGAGCAGGTTCTCTCTATTTTCTCCAGCTTGTGTTCCCCTGGGCAAAATTCTCTGTTTCTGATTTCCATGGGTTTGTTAGGCTCAGTTAAGTTTTGCTAGGCTCAGACATATATATGTGGAACTAGCTGCGAACTCACAGATCTGGGTCTCCAGTTCCAGTTGGCACTGCTGTGCTGCAGTCACAAGATGGCTCCTGCATCGGCTCTCCATGGACGATCGATAAAACTCAGGGCTTTTTTTTTTTTTTTTAAGATCTGCTTAATGAGTCAAACAGCCTCTGGTTCTGCTAGGGCAGACTGCCCCTCTAGTCTCAGGATTTTTCACTCTAAGCCTCAGGGAGGAGCAGTATTCTTGCTGCTTGAGTTCTGCGTAGCTGAGCTAGGAGAAATGCTGCCTCACTTTAATCTGCCATCTTGCCCCTGCAAAAAAACCTATATATGTTTTTTAAGGCAACAACTGCAGTGAACATTGAACATTCTGTATATATGTTTGAAACCTCTGCAAGAACACCTTAAGCATAGATCCTAGGGGCTTTTCCTGGATCAAACAGAATGTGCATTGGAGATTTTAGTGGTTCTTTGTTTCTTCTGGAGACTCACTATAAGTTCTAGTCCAGTGATGCATCTGGGATGGTGCATCAAGATCATCTCCAGACTCTACAAAGTATGGTATGTAAGATTCCTATTTCTGCTAGAACAAATCACCCCAATCAAAATAACACAAATTTATTACCTTCTAGCTCTGGAGGCCAGGAGTCTGACATGGATCACACTGAGCTAATATCGGAGTGTCAGCAGGCTATGTTCCTGTGGGGAGGCTCCAGATGAGACTGAGAGGAGCTTTGGTCTTGCCATTTCCAGCCTCTAGAGGCTGCTACCTTTCTGGGCTCCAGGCCCTTCCCTGCGTGGCATCACTCCCACCTCTGCTTCCTTGTCTCTTTTCCTTTTCACTCTGATTCTCCTGCTTCCCTTTATTCTTACTTTTTCATTTTTTAAAAAATTTCTTATTTTGTGGTACTGTACATCAAACTCAGGGGAGCTTTACCACTAAACTACTTCCCCAGTTCTCTCTCTTTTTTAAATTACTTTGAGACCGGGTATTTCTAAGTTGCTCAGGCTGGCCTCAAACCTGCAACCCTCCTGCCTAGGCCTCCTGAGCAAGTGGAATTACAGGTGCACATCACCACACCAGGCCCCTGCCTCCCTTTATCAAGGTTCTTATGGTCATGTTGGGCCTACCCTGATGATCTGGGATAATCTCTCCATCTCAAAATCCTTAATTTAATCACATCTGCAATGTCCCTTTTGTCATGAAAAGTAATGGCATTAATAGGTGTTGGGGATTAGCATGTGGACACAGACCATCATTCTAAAACCACAGACTTAAACCAGGGTAGAACATTCAGGACATTCGATTTTTGTGAGTGTTAAATACAAGTAATTCTGATGTGTATCCCAAGTTGCTATATACTAAGTATACTCCATGAAAACACATGAGGTTAATAAAAAATTTCTCAGTTATTATTTGTCTGTTTTTGAGTTTTTCTGCGTTGGGTAGACAAATACCTTTGATCATCTTTCTGAGCTCATTGCAGTGCTGTCAGTTTGCCATTTTCTTCTTATTTTATATACTTGCTTTGTTGTGCTCCAAGGAAACTTCTTTGGAAAAAAAAACTGGGGAGGATTTTTCATCATTACTTTTTTCTCCCTGCTACACAATTTGGTCTCTGAAAAGACTGTAGATACCAGTGCAGGTATCCATAAGTGCTATTCTGATTGTATAAGGACAAAAACAGCTGAACCAAAGAAGCAGCAAGTGGCTCTTAGCTGCCTGCAGTTGGTTCTGTTGGTCTTGGGAGGATGAATGATAGCTTTTCCGCACTGTCTGCCTCATCCCCTTAGATTTGATGACTTACGTCTCCTATGAATACAAATGTGGCAATGGCCTCCACCTGGAAGTCCCACTGCCATGTGAATGTGATCCTGTCTCTCAATAGTTCTTTGCTCTGATTGAGCATTAGAATCTGCTGGGAACCTTAATCTGGCAGCGGCTGGGCCTCTCATGCTCAGGGATTCCAATTTAATTGGCTCAGATGGGGTCTGGGAATTTGTATTACTTATCCATCAAACTGTAACGGAATGCAAAATGTATAGGTCAGGTTAGGATCCTTTGGGGGCCTCCTCTTTTACGTTTGTCTGAAAATCACCCTCAATTGATGGTATTTTTGACTAAGTTTGGGGAGGTAGCTAAAGATTGGGAGAAAACAAACTGTGGCCCCTAAGGACTAGGGAGAGAAGGAATGCACATGACTCATGTAAGAAAGCCCAGTAGAGGGCACCGAAGGAATGCCATGGTGCCACCCTCTGTGCCTGAGTCCTTGACATCCTAAGGAGTTGGACCTGGGGTCTTGTCTGTGCCTCTGGCATCTGAATGAATTGTGGAATTGTCAGATACTCTTCCATTCCTTCCTGAAAGACCCTGTCTTCAAATAAAAATGAATGAATAAATAAATTTTTAAAAAAAGACCTCGGGATTTAGCACCCACCCTCAGGTAACGTTCTTATGGGTTTATGTTTCAATATTTCCCTGCTAATACCTCAGATGCTAAAGAATTGACTTTTTTTTTTTTTTAAAGATATGCTTCCTCTTAAATAAGTGTTCTAGGAGCCTCATGAACCTTCAAATCAGGGGAGGCTTTTCTACTAATGGAAGAGAAAGGTAACTTGCTCTGATAGTCACCCTTGCAGTTCCAGAAACAGTCAGTATGCCCAGAGGCCTAACTAGTACTTAACTGTAGAGCTAAGTGAAAAATTCTGCACACTTTCATATTTGGGAAGAAGTAATTTAAATCATTCTTATTAAAAGTGCACTTTGTAAATATTTTCCCAGCATGCCTTCATTTAAAGGGATTTTTGAGCCTGGATTAGACAGCAGGATTTCTGGCTATTGAAAAACAACTGAGGGATTTAGTGTTTAGAGTACATAGTAGTGTTTAATATTTAGTATTTTTATTTGAAATTCTAAAATAAGGATACTCGAGAGCTTTTACATATTCTGTAATGATGTGTTTTTGGAAATCATCAAAGAATTGTTCTCAAAAGTTATCTACTGAAATGCTAGACCTTCGTAGAGTTGCTTAAAACTGAAACAAATTTGATGGACATTGGGAATCCAAGTAGAGTCAGATGTGGGAGAGAAATTTCCATGCAGCATTTAAGCTCCTCCCTTGTTCTTAAATTTGGGCTGGTCAATAATACGAAGTAGTAACCTATAGGAAACTGTCAGACATGTGCATAGTCACTAAATTTGCAGCTGTTTTTCAAAGGAGAGAAATAGATGGGGATTTTACTTTTTCCTAAGTTCATTGACTAAAACAGGGGAAAAGAAGGAAGCAAGCAGATGGTAGATACTGAGTTTTATATTAAGTTTTTTTCTGGTTACTTGGTAACAGCAGAATTGGTCTGAGGTTAACCAGAACTAGGGGGAGGGGTGTTTGCTTTTTATTGGACAGAGCCACAGGATCCTATGAAGAATAACCTCAGAAGGACAGGGGAACTTAGCAGAAGGAGATTCTGGGCTCTCATAAAGATGTAAGTTTCCCATTTCACATCCTGGAAAAGAGAATCTAAATGGCTCAGCCTGGGATTTTGTATAGTGTACAATGATAATGTACAGCTGGGAGGCTGGGTATATGGGGCATCTCCCGAGAACCAGGTATTGAGCATTGGCAAGACACCAGCCCAAGGGGTGCTAGCAGTATACAGATTTTCACTAACATCTGGTTGGGCTGTGCGTGAGTCAGGGTAACAGCATTGTACACCACAAATGAGGCCTATTTGAACTATTATTCTAAAACTTTTTTATTAACTGTCAATTTCTGTTTTTATCAAAAGAATGTTCTGTGGTTGTGGCTCAGTGGTAGAGTGCTCACCTAGCACACATCCTCAGTACCTCATAAAAATAAATAAATAAAATACAGATATTGTGTCCATATATAACTAACAAATATTAAAAAAAAAAAGAATGTTAACTGTTATTGCAGCATGGTGCTTTTTTATGCACTTCCTCTACCAGGGACAATACTTGTGCTAACAAGTGTGACAGGCCCCAGAGGCGACCTGCAGTGTCTGGAGCAGAGAAGCAACCAAGCTGCTACCTGGAGGGCATCCTGTGGCAGAATCCATTATCCCCAACTGGGCTCCCTTCTCTTCAGAGAAGCCACTACCTCCAGACTCAACTACAGTTCCATTTCCTCTTCTACTTAAAGCTCCTTAGAATGCAAAGGAATGGGAATGAAGATGCCCACCTCCCAGCACTGCCTTTTGTATGTTTCTCTAATTGTAAATCATTGGTAAACTTTGATATTTGGAATAAACTTTAAATACAGATTTCATTTGTGTGCATAAGAGCATGAAGTACTGTCTGGCAGTAATTCCCCTATCTGCTGCCTAGGAACTGGAGTCTCCTTTTTAAGGTTTGGCTACTGATTGTGTGAAATGTGATTTAATTGAGAACTCTGGCTTTGCAGATTCAGAGAAAATGGCCCAGTATCTGGAGGAGGAACGTCGCATGAGGGAAGAGAACTTGCGGCTGCAGAGGAAGCTGCAGAGGGAAATGGAGAGAAGAGAAGCCCTCTGTCGACAGCTCTCCGAGAGCGAGTCCAGGTTAATAATGGATGATAAAAGGTGCGCACATGTGCTATGAGTCTGAGAAGAAAACAAAACAGGCCCTAAGAGACCTCTCTTTGCATCCTGTTAGATATGATAACACAAGATAGCTTAAACACATTTCAAATTAACAGTGATGATGAATGCCACTTTAAACAGAAAAATGAAGAAAAAAAAATTTTTTTTTCATTTTAAGATTATTTGGTGGGGAAGAAATGGAAGCAGAGTTTGCCTTTGTTGTTGACTTAGTCTAATTCTGTGTTAGGGCTGTTTAAAGCCTGGGCATATCTTAACTCCCTTGGAAGGATAAGCAAGCTGTAGGGCAGCCCATGGAAACAAATGTCTGTTGTGGGTTGAAGGAACCAGCAGGAGACAGGTGCAGGGGGCTGATATCCCAAGGACTTTGCCATAGCACAGTGGATAACTTCTGAGTCTTTTTGCAGCTACCTTTTAAAAATAAAACTAACACATTCCCTTCACCTGCTTGAGACAATATGGCGAACCTCCTCATTATGCCACTATGGATGGGTTCAACTAGGGGAACTGGTTCAGCTATTATCCCTTATCTTGATCTCTCTTTTCTACCTCCTCCTCTGAACTTCAGAGGAAAGTGTTCTTAAGATAAATGACAAGTGTAAATTACAAAACAACAACAACAACAACAACCCTGTTTAATTAGCAGAGAAACCCTGCAGGAAGGGGATTAGCTTTTCTCTTAATCAGATTATTTCTACAAGGAAATTCCCTGTTCTGGATTAGACCACATCTCAGTGTGAGAGGTGAGCAGAGCTTCCTCAGGGACCCCCTCCAACTCTATTGGGGCAGCCGGTATATGAGAGCAGGGTCTGAGGAATAGCAGTGTTGATGCCAAACATGTCTGAAACCAAGCCATATGAGCACATCAGCACTTCATGTTACGAAATAGATCCGAGGGCTGCCAAGGATTTTGATCTGTTTGCTGTGGACAGTTTCAAGAAAAATGTAAGATTTTCTATAAGAAAGTATATAAATGAGAAAATAGGCATTTACAAGAAGAGGACAGTAGATTATCCTATTTAAAATATTTCTATGTATCCTCATTTGAAAGAATAAATATTGTTCTTTCTGAAAAGCTTGCATTACAAAACTGTCATCCATAATTCTAATTTCACTGATCTATTTCTGGCATTTTCCCATTTTTTCCCCCTAAAAATCCACTGAGAATCTTTTGACTGATAATGTCAGCTAGAAAACTAGATGGCTTATTACCTACTTTATTAACCACCTTGAGTCTCAGAGCAGACCGTGAGTTACCTTTCAAAGCATCCTGTAGCCATCCAATTTTGAATAACATATACTGTAGGGACAGTTTCTTCTGACTATGGTGACGATGCTGATTCCAGATGAATATATTTTCCAGAACTAGTATTCATTCCAAAAGATCTGCTTTACCTTTCAAAGGTCAGATTATCCCATCCAATAAGTATAGCTGCCCAATAAGTGCTTCTAGAAATGATCATCTCACATTTGAGAGAAAAAGAATTATGACACTTCAGACCATAATAGGTGGTTTTGGCTGCCTACCTGGATATAGAATACAAAGAGAGGTCCCCCCCAGTGTCACTATGGTGAGCCTCTCTAAAGAGAATAGTAATGGCTATGTAGTTGACGTACTTGTGAAATTAAGGAGCCTGATTTTATTCAAGTCCCATAAGCGTGTTTGGAAGTGGCCACATCAGTTCTTTCTGTGAACTGAGTATCAGGGCTGAGATCTTCCTTGAGATAAGGGTATACAGGCATAAGGCTGAAAGGCTTCCAAAGGATAGTTTATCAGGAAGTCTCTCAAGCAGAAATTTCTCCTCCTCAGCACTCTGTGCTTGGTTCACAAAGTGAAAGCTGATGTTCCTCACAATCACATTTCAGCATTCTGTGGTCTGATGTGACTTTCAAATCCAGGAAAAAGTCAGACTCAGCAAAGTGTGACTGAGCATGACCAGCCAAAGGTGCTTGATACTCATGTCCGCCTGTGGCCATTTGGTAAACATGGCTTGCCTTGTAAAGAGGTGACATTCAGTTCATGGATGTATGTCTCTTTAAACTTTAATTTGATATAATAAATCTCAGGGGACTCCTTGATTTGAGTATCAAATATTAATTCAAATATTCCCATTAAAACATGGGTAGTGTCTTTGTAATTCTTGGGACATTGGAAGTAAATTTCCTCATAGCCATGGTGTGCTGGAGAAAAGTCTGTCCTCTCTGTTGTATCACAAAGACTCTGTGACCAGATCACAATCCTGAGCAAAAGCATCCTGAATTCCCTACCCTTTGCCAAATATTGGGACAGCGTTTCTTGGGAGTTCATATTATAAATGTCTCCTAGCTAGCTACATTATCACTCTGAACATTCCAGATTTTGACATCAGGCTGTGACCTCCAAACACTTTCTCATAGGAGCTCTCTTAAGAACTATTTTAAATGCAGTTAGTTCTGTTCATTTCCCCTTCTTTCCTCTTAGGTATTTTAACGAGATGTCTGCACAAAGATTAAGACCCCGTACTGTGTCCAGCCCAATCCCTTACACACTGCCAAGTTCAAGTAGGTCTATATCACGAGGTGAGTATATGTCTTCAGCTACCTCATTGACTGATTTCCAGAATGTTTAATAGGCAACCCTGAATATGTTCCCTTCTAGCATATAGAAGTCTTATGAACAAAGTCACTGGATTTTCAAAAATAACAAAACAAGTCTCTGTCAAGATTACATCTTTACTTGAAATTTCTAAGCACAAGTGCTTAGCTGGTATTTTTAGTGCTAGCTGGTATTTTTCTTCAAAATTTTTAACCTTCCTTAAAGAAATTTGAATACAAAATACCTCTTAAAAGAAGACTGTTAAGAAGACTGTCTTTGGCTAAGATGTTAGATCTCAGTGGATGGACAGAATTTCTAGGTAGATTTCCAAGATGCCTTATAACAAATCTTCTATGGGTTCCTTTATCATGTTCCAATTTTTATCTTCAGAATAATAACCATTGTAGTTTTATAGTATCATTTTTATTATTATAATATCATTTTTATTTTTTATATTATAGTATAATTTTTCCCATATTAAACTTGGGTAAGCAGCCATTAGGAGGTTCCCCACCTACAGGTCACAGATCCAGTAAGACAGAAGGCAGGGCACAGCTGTTTCCACAGCCTGTGTTCTGCTTAGCAGGAGCTGCCTCCTAATGTTTCCCATGACTCATGAGTGGGACTGGGCCCCAGTAGGCTGGCCATGCAAGAAGCAGTGGACTTGGGTCTGGCAGGCTGCTTCTGGCTTTGCTCTTGGAAGCCTCTCCTCCAAGGCAGGCTTATTTCATCTGAACCTGAAAGCACCCTCCCCGGGGCATCTGGCTCAGCACCAGCACTGTGTGGGCCTTTTGGGCCAGGAGGACAAGTAATTGAGTCCAGCAAGAGAGGAAGAGAAAGGAGAGGAGGGGACAGGAGGCAGGTGGAGGAGGGGGAGGAAAGACAGGTGGCAGCTAAGGAATTGCAGCTTGTGACTGAAATGATGAGACCGTTGTTCTTGTGGTTGTTGATAAACATGTTTTAAAAGAACTAGAGGAAAAGTGTATAGAGTCCGGGAGAGGGATGGAGGAGGAGTTTCACAGTGGAATCCAGTGAGGTGACTGCTTTCAAGTGGAGCAGTGTAAAGGTTTTGTACAAACACCTTTCATGTAGGGCAACAGCGTTTCATGTGTTCTGTTACGATAATTAAAGTGAAGGACCCTCCTCTTAAGGTTGATAGGATAGAAAATGTGCTGTAATTCCATTGGCCATCAATAAGAGCATGAGAAAGGAATGACTTGGTTTTACTATTTTGGGGGATCCAGCCCAGCACTGTCTGCTGTGACCTTTTTTTTTTTTTTTAAGTGGAGAAAATCAAAAGATGAAATATGTGACACATAGAGTGGCAGCTTGTGTCTATTTGGGGCCAGTATGTTGTCTGACTTCAAGCAAGGTAAAGAGGGACTGATCACAGACCGAAAGGACTTTACCCCGTGGATAATGGCATGGTCATTGTCCCTTGTTCTTGCCAAGAGGATGTTCCTGAATCTGTTTCTCTTCTCTCCAGTGGCCTTAAGTCTTCTCTTCCTATTTGTCTCACAGTTTTCTCAAAATAGCTCTTGGCTTCATTGCCACAGTAAAGGTCTTTTTCTGCTTACTGATTTATTGACGTAGAAAGAAGACATGAATCAGGCAGAGGCAAGATGGAGGGTTACTTTGCAGTTGATGGCAATGCTGATTCATACTAAGTATAATTTAATATCATGTGGGATATTAAATTAAACTTTAGAGACATTTAATTTCCAATTGATTAAAAAGAATATTTCAGTCTCTGAAAAAAGAAAAAAAAAGTCAAAACTTGATTCAGGATATTACTTCTATTATAACATTTTCTGCAGGAAAATCTTATTCCATTTGGATAATTTTGACTTCTTCTGCTTTTGTCCCTGTAGTGGGAACTATTAAAGTGTAAGCCTAGCTTGGCTAGATGAGCTATTTGATTTTCCCTTAAACTATGGAATAAATAATAACGACTGTTTTTTTTCTTTCAGATAACCTAAATGAGAATATTTTTATATTAAGTTATATCCTAAAAGTAGATTTTTATCTCCTATTTGGCTGTAGATTTAAATCATCCTAATCTGGTAATATCATGGTGCTATAATAGCATATAAGCAAAACAGGAATATTACAATAATTTTTCATTTTGTTTTGTTTTCTGGAAGAATTTTTGGTTCTCAGTGATATTCTTAAGAATATCTCAACACTTTCTTAGTAGAAGTCTGTATACTTTTCATTTCCACTTTAAACATCGTGGCTTTTCTTCTTCCCTCCATGTTTGTGGCCGACATTCAAAAGCTTGCATTTTCACCAGGTTTTTAAAGTAGTTTGCATCCTCTTTTGGTTTGAAAAACACCAATCTAATAACTTCTGAAAGGTCCTCGTATAGCTTTATATGTTTACATGTATGAAATGAATTACTTTTTTTTTAAAGAGAGAGACAGAGAGAGAGAGAATTTTTTTTTTAATATTTATTTTTTAGTTTTCGGCAGACACAACATCTTTGTTTGTATGTGGTGCTGAGGATCGAACCTGGGCCGCACGCATGCCAGGCGAGCGCGCTACTGCTTGAGCCACATCCCCAGCCCTGAATTACTTTTCAACAATTATTTTTCAAGTTCTTCCATATTTTATGGTGCCTAAGAAAAGGATATTATTCCTAATTAGCATATTTTGATGCATTTAAATCAGAGGTAGATAGTAATGAGGTCTAAAAATAACTGCTTCCCTAATAATGAGCATAACCAGGTCCCAGATTTTGGTTTCCAATTCCATTCTTCAATGAAAAGAACATGGGCTGTTTAAGTAATGAATGTTTCCACGTCTGGGACACCTGATAGTACAATAGGGTAAGGAAGTGCTCAAAAAAAATAAAATGAGGGTTTTTTTTTTTTTTTTCTGGTGAATACAGGAGCTCTCAAACACCAGAACTAGAACAATTTGAGCAATGGAAGAGATGGGTGCAGCATAATGATGTTTCTGTCAGTGATGGACTGCATATAATAGAGTATTGCCAAGTGACATTATATCTGACTTAGTTTGTGTATGCACCCTCTATGATGCTCACAAAATAATGAAGTCACCTAGGGATGCATTTCTCAGAAGGCACCCTCCTCATTAAGCTATTCCTGACTATATTCTATTTAGTGAGCCAGTTTTTGCAGTTTGCAATTTCAACCTAGGGTTTTTGGTTTTGTTTTGGATTTTATATTTTATTCTATTCCTGGGCAAGAGGGTGGGATGTTTAATCATTAGCATTTAAGGGAAAACAAAAATTAGTAAGACATAGCCTCTAAGAGACAACAGGGCATATAAGCCACAGCAGGACCTGGGGAAGTAGGTAAAACAATACATATGATAAAAACTCATTTTACCCTTATGATAGTTTTGTAGCATAGTCCCACTTGCCAGCTGATGAATTTAAAGCATAATGGGATTAAGTGACTGTCCACTTTTGTTCAGTGCCAAGTGACACAGTTGGGATCCAGGGTAATCTTTCAGTTTGGCTTTAAAGTCTGGGCTTTTTGCCTCTTCATAGGATGAGGGAGGTGCTTGGGAAAGAACACTGGGGGAAGGAAGAGTCAGGAAAAACAAAGACAATCTCAGGCAGTGGGTATAGGATGTATAGACAGGTCTGAAGGAGGGGTGATGAGATCTCTCTGCTTCTCATCTTGATGCTCTGGGCAACAGCTCCCCTTAACTTTGGAGATTTTCAGTATTCAGGATTAAACCAAGAGGACCTTACCACTGACCTACATCAGAGTTCTTTTTATTTTTTATTTTGAGACAGGGTCTCATAAAATTGCCAAGGCTAGGCTTGAACTTGCAGTTCTCCTGAGTGATTGTGATTATAAGTGTGTGTCACTGCACCCAGCTGAAATTCTTATTTGTTTGGTTCGGGGTTAGTCAAGCAAGATTTTTATACCCACATTGGGAACACTGACCTAGAGCATCAGAAAGTAGTTTGGAGCCAAATGCAGAAGTCTTTTATAGCAGCCAGAGAACAGATTTTTTTTTTTTTTTGTAGGTAGGTAATAGTTTTTGAATATTCTTGTTTACTGGCTTAATATAAGAGTTATTATACTCATAATAACTCTTCAGAAAAATTAGCCTCATAATACTAGAAAATGGGCTAGATTTTTAGATTTTTTTTTTTTAATTTTAAATGAAACTCTTGAGCTCTTTTTGGGGATAAGGATCCACTTTTATAGAGTTTCTCTTAAATTTAACACTTTCATAAGAAGTAGAATCCGAGTTTTATTCACTAAACCTATTTAAGACAATCTCTTCTTCCCTCTCCCAGCTGAACAATGCCCTTGTGATACCAGTAGGCATTATCATATTAAGTGACTGCTTAGCTTCAAAAGACTGGTAGCTTTACCTCAGACCTCCACTTTGCTGGGAATAAAAAATTCACAATTGGAAATGGAAATAGGTCAAACAGAAAGCATCAGTAATTAATAATTAAACCAAGAAACACAGCAAGCCCTTGACATTAGGTGTTGAGGGCACAGCAAAGTCCGGTGTGGGACAACTGAGGGAAGAGCCTTGGTGGCTGAATGTCTATTGTAGAAGCAAAAAGAGTACAACAAGCATCCTTAGCAGCTTCTCCCTTTCATGTCATTCAGAAAAGCAAAGTAGAATTCCCTTGGCTTGGCATCTAATGGAGGATCACAGGCACAAAACCATTCATAGTGAGTTCCTATCCACACTCCCCCAACGGCTCCTTTGTTTCCATTTTTACTTATTCATTCATATGGAACCTTCCCTGTGGTAGTTTTCCTGCTAGATTCTGGGAACTCCAAGATGTAAAGACAGTTGGATTTGAATGAATAATAGTAAGTGATGGCCCAAACCAGTGGACCCTTCAGCCCTAACTCTCCAGAGATCAGGGCTTCCTAGGCTGCAAATAGGTGAAAATCTCTTTTGGAACTTTTTCAAAATATAGTGGTCTGGATAGGGGGTGTTACTCAGTGGTGCCTTGGGCATGAGGCCCTGGAGTCAATTCCCATTCTCACATGCATGTTAAAATGCAGCTATGTGGACCTCTGTTCAATGGTAAGGAGAGTCTGGACTTGTGTACTTTTAAAGCACTTTGGAGAAGATCCTGAGGTCCTAGATGAAGAGTATGCAAAATATTCCTGTGGACTGTTTTTCCTTAAATGTCACTTTCTTTCAGGAAACATTGAGATATAAAGAGCTTTTTTGTTCCCTGCATTGAATATTTTCAGGTTATAAAGTTTTCAGTAGTTCTGTTTGCTGTTATGCCTACAACACACCAGACACAAAGTAATTTGGTCTGCTTATTTTGGGGGTATCTTTTGACATTTCCCCTTTTCTCACATTTGATTTTTACCTCTTAGCTCTTTCCCCGCTCCCCGACACACACACTTAATTCTTGTGTCTTCTTATATCTTCCTATTCCTTTCCTTCACCTCAGTTGAACTCCTGACAGGGCTCAACATTTTTTTTTCTTTTCTTTTTGGTATGGGAAATTGAACACAGGGGCATATAACCACTGAGCCACATCCCCAACCCCCTTTGTTTTTTATTTTGAGACAGGGTCTCAATAAGTTCCTCAGGCTGAACTTGAACTGGAGATCCTCCTGCCTCATCCTCCCAAGTTGCTGAAATTACAGGCATGTGCCACTGTGTCTGGTTCAGCATTTTTTATTGTGATAGAAATACTTCAGATGAAAACAGTTCCCTTGAATTTTTAAGCATACAATACAGTATTGTAACTGTAGGCACAATGTTGTATAGCAACTCTCTAGAGCTTATTCATCTTGCTTAACAGAAAATTTATGCCTGTTGAACAGTAATTCTACCTTTTCTCCTCTTCCTTTCCAGTTGCTGGCAACCAACTTTCTGTCTCTGTGTCTGACTGTTTTAGATTCCACATACATGCAGAACCATTTAGTATCTATCTGCCTTTCTGTGACTGTTATTTCACTTAACATAGTGTGTTCCAGGTTCATTTATGTCGTCACATATAGTAGGATCTCCTTCTTTTGAAAGGAATAATATTGTATGTGTCTACCACATTTTTTCTTATGAACTCATCCACGGATGGACAGTTAAGTTGTTTCCATATCTAGGCTGTTGAGAATGATGCTATGTGGAACACAGGGGTACAAATATCTCTCTGAGATCCTGATTTCCTTTCTTGTGGATGATCACCCACAGGTAGAATTCCTGGTATCTATATCTAGGGTAGTTTTATTTTCATTTGGTGGAACAGGTCAGCTCCATACCTTTTTTTTTTTTTTTTGTAGTGGCTGCTACATTTTAAATTCCCACCAACAGTATAAGGGTTCCAACTTCTCCATATCCTTGCCAAGATTTATAATAATAGCCATCCTGACAGGTATGAAATGATACCTCATTGTAGTTTCGATTTATATTTCCCTGATGATTGGTGACATTGAACATCTTTTCACATACTTATCAACCATCTGTATCTATGAAGAAATGCCTATTTAAGCCTGCTGTTTCTTCTTATTAGTTTTTAAAATTTTGGTGATGATGATGCTAGGGATCAAACCCAAGGTTTCTCATATGATAGAAAAGTGCTATAACATTATGCAACCCCCAGTTCCCTTTGTAATTCAGTTATTTGTGTTTGCTTTTTTCCTAAGTCATATAATTTCCTTATATATTTCAGATATTAATCCCTTATGAGATATGTGGTTGGTGGACATTATCTCCCATTCTGAGGTTGCCCTTTCTGTTGATTATTTTTTTTTCTAGCACTTTCATAGTTTCTGGTCTTAAGGTCTTTAATCCACTTGAGTTGATTTTTATTATAAGGGTCCAATTGTATTCTTTCACATGTGGCTATCCAGTTTTCCCAACATCTTTTCTTGAAGAGACTGTCCCATGTATGTTCTTGGCATGCTTGTCATAGATCGGTTGATGGCTTATGTGTGCATTTCTTTCTGGGCTTTCTGTTCTATTCCAGGGCTTGCCTTTTATATTCCTCATTACCCAGCATGCTGTTCAGTAAGCCCACTGCCCTTCTCATTTGTTTTTATTTTCAGTTAACTGTCTGCATTTAAAAACCTACACAGTTGAAAATACTAAATAATTAGCCGAGTGTGGTGGTGCATGCCTGTAATCCCTGTGATTCAGGAGGCTGAGGCAGGAGGATTGCTAGTTCAAAACCAGCCTTAGCAACTCAGTGAGACCTTCTTTCTAATAAAATATAAAAGAAAATGTTTGGGGATGTGGCTTTGTGGTTAAGCATCCCTGGATTCAATCTCTGGTACCGTGCAAGAAAAAAAAAAAAAGAATTACTGTTGATTGCCATAATGTTGGAAAATATTTATTATCTACACCTTCATGGTTTACTAACCCTTGATAGTCTCCCTGAAGTTAATCTTGTTTCTAGTTTTACCAAAAAATTTCTCTCCTAGAATTAGAGGAAGCTTAAGTGCATCTGATTCTAACTCCATTAAGGAAAGTATTTTTTTTTCCTATACACTTGGCTATATAGTTTTCTAACAGAGCAGTCAAAAAGGTAGAGCTAATAGGATCAGCATGGTGGTGAACATCTATAATCCCAGACACTTGGGAGGCTGAAGCAGGAGATTTGCAAGTTCAAGGCCAGCTTTGGCAACTTAGTGAGACCCTGTCTCAAAAAAAGAATGGGGAAGCCGCATATGGTAGTACATGCCTATAAACCCAGCAACTCAGGAGGCTGAGGCAGGAGGATTGTGAGTTCAAACCCAGTCTCAGCACTTAGCAAGGCCCTAATCAACTCAGTGAGACCCTGTCTCTAATAAAATATAAAATAGGGCTGGAGATGTGGTTCAGTGGTTAAGTGCTCCTAGGTTTAATTGCCAGTACCAAAAAGAAAAAAAAAAAAAAGGATGGGGAGGGTGCGGGCTTTGGGTGTAACCAGTGGTAAGGTGTTTGCCTGGCTAGCATGCATGAGGCCCTAGTTTGATCCCCAGAACCACTCAAAAAGAGAGGTAGAAAGAGGCGGAGAAAGAAGGGGGGGGAGAGAGAGAGAGAGAGAGAGAGAGAGAGAGAGACTGAGACTCTATTCTCTATTAAATCATTTAAGGCATTTGTGAAGCTCTTTCAAATTCAGTTTGATGGACTTTGTGCAAAAGGGGACTGTTTTGTTGAGCTGTGACCTTCAGGATATGGAAAAGTTGTTTGAGAGGGGTGATAGAAGAAATTGAGGATATACGACTGGCAGTAAAGATATAAGATATGACAGCTGTTTTTAAATGTTACAGCTGTGTCATTGATGGGGCCACATCCAGTAGTGTGGTCAATGCCAGTTTTATAGTAATATTGCCTAGCTTTTCCACAGGTATAGGTGTAAGCACTGCTTAAGCTTTCCTGCCTCCCCAGGAACCAGTGGGGATACAGAAGGAGACCACTGGTTCCTGGTGTCTGCAGCTCAGTGCTCCAGGAGTCTCTGATTCTGGTGATGCTGTGTTGGTACTTGCTGGCGCCCCAGGCTGACCTGCTTCCTGTCCTCTCCACAGAGGCCTTCACCACGGAGAAGCAACAGTCCTGACAAATTCAAAGGGCCCACACCGCCTCCGTCTCCCAACACACAGACCCCAGTCCCGCCGCCTCCGCCTCCACCTCCGCCACCCATGCAGCCCGCGATCCCCTCGGCAGGCACCTCGCAGCCTGCCCCTTCGCAACATTCGGTGCACCCCTCCTCCCAGCCTTAATGCATGTGCTTAGTCTGAATTTCAAGTTGGGACTCGTCCATTGGAGCCGTCTACTCCAACGCCAAAGGCTTCCTTCCCTGGCATATTTGGATCTGACTTATTTGCACTGAGGTTATCTAGGCTTCACTATTCATTGTGTTGTTGGAAACGCAGCCAGTGTTGTGGGTCTACAACACTACGACTTTACATCCGTGTTTTACTTGAATCTATATGTATGTCCATTCCCTGGCTGTAACATTGGCTATTTGGTATTTGGTAATACAGCAGCAGTGTGCAATTTTTGCTTGGCCCCAGATCTTCATTTCCATTTTATTTTACAGGCCAGCTTTGGCAACTTAGTGGGACCCTGGCTTCTGTAAAATAAAAAGGATATATATTGTATTTTTTTCCATGAATTTGCAGAAAATTACTGAACTGTTATTACCCGTTGTCCAATTATTATTGTGTTTACCAAATCAACCAAGAATGTAGCACTACAGTTCACACCTTTGAAAATCTGACTTTCAGTGTAGAGTGGAAAGTTAGAAGAATCAGTGCCCAAGACACACACTGTTTAAGTAGAGCTTTCTACAGGTACACTTTTTGTAGGTTATTTCTAATGTAATTCGACTTCCATGTCTTTTAAAATGGATTAAGGAAGGAATCACATGATTATATCTTCTCCACAAATGTAGGATGGATAATTCTTGCATTTTAAGATGTGATTCTTCCCTTTATCCTTAATGCTAATCTACCTAAACTGGCTCCTCTAACATGAGTCTAACATGAGTGTCAGTGGGTGGTTTCAGTGGCTGATTAGAATATGCTCTTTGATTCCTACTGTGGAGGGCAAGGTGATTGTAACCCAATCAGTGTGATTTCCCCTCCCATTCTTTATTTGTGTTCTCCTGAGATAGAATTTGAACAATTACTTTAAAGGTAGAAAATACTATTAAAAAATACTGACATTAGAGGACTATCTTGGTATAATGGGCACAAAATACCATATTGCTTGGCAGAAAAAAAAAAAAAAAAGATGTGTAGAGGAAAGTGGTACGTTAGCACTGAGGACTGCTTATTTTGCCCAGTATAAGCAAGTACGGTGTACAAAGACATATATTCTGAATACATTATTTCTATTCATTTAGCACAAATAAACCATTTGGTTTTACTTTGATGTGAAACATGGAGTCACTCTTAATGTTTGCTCCATCTTTCTTTTCTTTTTATTTTTCAACAATTATGATTTGTACTTTGGTAGTAAAGTACTTTTTACCAACTGTGTTTGCATATTTATATATGCTGTGGATAAAAATAGCTTACTAGATAATATGTATCATAAGAATATGTATCTGTTAGATATAATCAGAGAACTGAATATTAATTTATCAGGAATTTTTAAGAGTTCATGTTTTGTAGTGCAACCAATATGGAAATCAATATCTAGGTGCCTCAAAAAACTAGGCATGGAACCACCATATGACCAAGTTATACGACTCCTCATTATTTATACTGAAGAACTAAAGGCATTTTATGACTGTGATACATACATACCCTTGTTTAAAGCAGCACAATTCAAAAGAACTAAACTATGAAGTCAACCTAGGTGTCCATCAGCAGATGAGTGGATAAATAAAATGTGGTATACATGCACAATGGAGTGTTATTCAGTCACAAAGAAACATGAAATTATGTCATTTGCAGGAAAATGGATGGAACTTGAGACCATCATGTTAAGTGAAATAAGCTAAGCTTGGGTGGTTAAGGACTGTACGTTTTCTCTCATATGTGGAAGCTATAAATAAAAAGGAAAAGAAAAGTAAGGGGTTCAGGGATATTATGAAAATAAAAGGGAGATCTGCAGAGGAAAGGGACCAAGGAGTGGGGAGTGGGGTGGGGAGTGATGGGGTGTGATATTGGCCAAATTGTATTGTTATATTTTGTGCATGTATGAACATGTAACAAAAAATCCCATAATTATGTATGACTATAATATACCAATAAAACTATATGGAAAGAAAAAAAAGAGTTCATGTTTTGTGACATCTATCATGCCTAACTCATTATTGAACACACTCCTAAAAATAAGAACCATTATGTTGTTGATATTTAATATTATACAGTAGAAACTTCCATTTTCCCTTTGAAGGTATTTTTAAGAGTTAATAGGCCAGGAGTGGTGGTGCACATCTGTAATCCAAGTGACTCAGGAAACTAAGGCAGGAGGATAGCAAGTTCAAAGCCAGACTCAGCAACTGAACAAAGCTCTAAGCAACACAGCCAGACCCTGTCTCAAAATAGAAATAAAAAGGGGCTAGAGTTATGGCTCAGTGGTTAAATGCCCCTGGTTTCAATCCCTGATTACCCACCCCTCCCAAAAAAGAGTTAACAGAATGAAAAAAGTGTTATTGGACAATAGTGTTTGACTAGCACTTTAAGTATTGAAGAATAAAAGCAACAAAATTATTTTTTCTCCTCTTCCTTCTTCTATCCCCAAACTGAGAATATCATCCCCAATTATTAGAAAGAAATAATCGATCTATAATAATTTAATTTATAATGACTATATAATATACATTATTATAGTGCATTTCTCAAATATGGGAGAAAGTTTGGCATTTATTATTGAGGCATTATGTTTTTAATATGACCAGACTGGGCCATGTCAAACTGGAAGGTAGAAGCCCCCTCACCTGTGGGAAATGGACTTACCTAGGCTGGGCACTTCACAGGGGGCTGAATGTGCTTCTGGCTATTTTGTTGCCCACTCAGATATGCTAATCTGCTTTTGGTCCCTGCTGGTGGAGGGAGCAACAGCAGCTTCAGTAGCTTTATTTCCTGTCTTGCTGACAGAGACCCTTGGCTACCACTGTGCTGCTAATAGAATAAGTACTCTGTTGCCGGATTACCATGCCTTTTCTACAAAACCAAATTAACCTACCTAATACCTGACAACTCTGGGCTCTGAAACAGAATTCTTGGAATTTGGCACATGGTGGAAATGTTTAAGATTGAGTTTCACTTACTCATTTGATTGGAAGGAGTTTTCAGTTCTGAGCTCCTCAGATTCTGAGTAGCAACTATGGAATGAATGTGACCAGAATGTGGCTTTGACACCATTTGCTGCTGTGCCTTGTGACTGGCTTCTAACTGATTCAACCAGAAATAACCTATAAAGTGAATTGTTAACTGTTCAATTGTAGGGAAAAAAATGTGCATCACCCTTTGTTAGTTAGATATGAACTCTCCTTGCACAGAGCCTTGCTTTCCCACAAGGCAAGGAAAAAACGTAGTTACTTGTGCTTTGAGAGCTTAGTATTTATCAGTACAAAAGAAATATTTCTTTGTTACTTGATCTTCTGTTTAGTTCTTGTTTCATAGGTAACCTACACTGAAAACTTTGTAGTCATGACTACTTGAGAAATACATAATAAAACAAATTTTTATTTCCAAATTATTAAAGAGCCAGCCATTGACGCTGCTACATGCATTCCTTGCTCAAGAGCCATTGTGAGAGAGATTAAGGGGTTTTAGGGTTTTTGATTTTTAGTTTCACTTTTTTCTCCTCTCCCTTTTTTCTCTGTGTGTGTTTGATAAAACATGTTAGCATAAAGTTTTGGGGTGCATTTTTCAGAATTCTCAGCAGTTGAGATTAACTGCTACGCCTAGATTGCCTCTTGGTAGGCACTTGAAGGAACCTGTGCTCAGGATAGCACGGTGCTGTGTGCAGGAGTGCGTGTGTGCATTCATGCCTTAACTCAGCTACTGCTTAAGTTTACTATTTGACTTAGTCTGCACTGTCATCTAGATTGTTCCGTACATCTCAGTCTGAACTTCATCCTGGCAAAAACAAAGTTGAAAACACAACATGTTAAGAATAATACATTCCTCTGAAAAAGAATGTGGTCAGATTGACCTTGAATTATTTTTGGTCTTTATTTAGAACTTAGCTTTAAAAAGCAAAAGTGGACTGTCAAAAGGGAAGAGGTCAACAGGGGAAAGAGGAGAGCCAGCTGGCATGCCTTTTCCCTCTCCATATCCATGCACATACCATGATGCTTGAGGCGGCTTGTCTACAATTTGATTACATTGGGATTCTGGTAATAGTGGCAATCTTGACTTCCCGGACGGAGTTTAGAAAGATGTAAGACTTCCAGTTAATGTCTTATTTACTTTATGTTTATTAGTCTTTGATACGTGTGTTGAATCAGAAACCTAAATAAAGATAATCTTTTAAAATGTACCTCTCAAGCCTCAAGACTTATCCCTTTTTTTTCTGTTCTTTAGGTTGGAAAATAAACATTATTTTACTATTGCTTCTGGCAGATATCCAACTTAGATTCTAAATTCTAAATGCTGCCTTGGAAAGTAAACTTAGGGAAGATAGGCTGAAAGGGACTGGTATGGTTTAGTTAAAGTGCTGGCTACCTGCACCTGTTGAGTTTTGAAAATTCATTGAGCTGTGCACTTAGGATTTGTGTGCTGTTCTGTGCTATATTTCTTTAAAACAGTAAATGTAGGAGATTATGAAATGGAAAGGACAGCCAACTCTCAAAATGTTACATATAAACAGACATATATAGTCACATGCCATGCAATGTTTCAGTCAATGAGGAATTGCCTATGCAATAGTGGTCTCTCAAGACTACAGTAGAGCTGAAAAATTCCCATTGCCTAGTGACATTGCAGCTTTCATTTGTCACGCTGTGCATTACTCATGTGTATGTGGTGATACTGGTGTAAACAAACCTGTGCTACTAGTCATACACAGTTGTAGCACATATGAGAATGAACAGTGCACAATACATTATAAATGACCACTACTGCATTAGGTATTTATCATTTTTTAAGAAAATGAATTACTTGCAAAAGCATACAATGAAATAATATGCCATGTTACATGGGTAGCAGCCTCATGCACCTTGTGTTTAGTGTCTCTGTATTGCATTAGGAGGCCACATGCAGTGATAGTGTGTAAGTACACTCTCTGATGTTCCCACAATAACATTGCCTATCAGTGAACTTCTCAGAATGTCATCCCTGTCATTTAGTGACACACGACTGCATACACTCAGGCTTTGGACATTACAAGTGGATTATTATTAGTGAGCTTATTCCTAAAAGTTGAAATCCCATCATATGGTTTTCTCTTCCTACTTTGCAGAAAGTTTGGTTAAGAATCTATTCTGGGGAGATTCATGATGAAAGATTAGAAGTAGCCTGCATTTCTAGTTGCTCCAGGGCTCAGGATTCAAGGAGCAGGAGTACTGCTTCTCAGTGAAGTAGGTGAAAGAAGAATTTCACAAAATTCAGTGTTGGACCGTCAGAGAATCTTATAGTCTCAGAAATTCAGGTGCAATGAACAAAGAAGAAAGAGTACATTGGATCCAAGCCGGTTGTGGCAGCAGCAGTGGTACTGGATCACTACAGAGGGGTGGGAAAACACAGAGAAGTGTGATGAACAGGTTTGATACAGAAAAACCTGTACATCAGAACAGCCTGAACTTAGCTGATCCAGAGGCTGCACTGTGCACTGGTGTATGGAAAGTACTCTGTTTCTCAACTGGTCATGTAGAGCTGAGGCAGGAGCCATCTGAAGGTGGTTTCACTGTGGCTGCTGCCACGAGAGCTGGAAGGTCATAGCAAACACTGCCACACTGTCCTCATGAGCACCTACCACATAACCTAGGATGTACCTAGCAGAATATGAGTGAAACAGGCACGGAAAATATTTTAACCAGGGGGATTCAAATTGGAAAAAGTGAAGGGTAGCCCAATTTGCTTCTCCCTTTGAGTCTGGCAGCTCAAGTGACCAGCTGAAGGAGTTCAGGAATCCAACAGGCAGGTATGAATACACGCAGGGACTAAGCCCAGGAAAGCTGTGTTCGAGGGCAGCAGAGTGGGTGGAAAATTGACTCCTCTGCCTGTTGTGAGCCTGCTATGTCATTAACATAGACAAAACACATTTGTGTCTTTCCATGATGTCAAGATTTATTGAATAATGATAAATTCACAGGTTACACCACTTTATCAGTGGTATTTTACTGAATACTTCTGAGTCGCTTGGTAGTCATAAACTGGGAAAACACAAAATTTTTTATTCCAGTCTTAATTTCTAATATATAAATACTCAAGTCCCATGTACTTTACAGAATGATATATAAATAACTCACAGAATTGTCCAAGCAGAAGGTCCAAACGAACAGAAGGACAGATGGCAGTTTCAGTTTCAGAGTGTCAGTTTGAAGTGTGTCAGCTTGGAATGGGCAGTGTGTGGTCATCACAGGCAAAGAAACTGTACTTGGCTGAAGCCCAATAGAGACAGAAGATTGGTGGTTCATTGTAGTGGCATTTTTTTCTGGACAAGACTTGTGATGAGTGAGCAGGTAACAGGGTCAAGGTATTACTGTGTTCAGTCTTAGAGGGCTGAAGTGAGGGGTTCTCATTTGGTGGGGTTGATAAGTTCTCATGTCTAGTGTTCCTGATATGATTGGGGATGTCCATATATCTAGGCATTCCTTGAATTAGTTTGATAAGTTGGCACATGTAAGTTTTTTAAAAAATCAATTTCTGCCTTATAGTGGTGCCAGGCAGATGTTTACTTGCACAAACAGTGTGTGGAGTTATTTCACCTTGGTACTTGTGCTCAAAATGGAATAGTTCATGGCAAATTACTATTTCACAAAATGGAGTAGCTCAGGTTTAGGTATGCTTGATAACAGCTGTTCTATATATCAAAGAGTAGTTTAGAGCAGGGCACAGCCTGCTGTCCACACAGCCCTATGAGAAGGATTCTTGGGAGGCTCCTGAGATCCAGACTCCCAGTAGACTCGCATCTGTAGGCCCTAGGGGTGCCTATTCTCTCTCAAGAAGACACTACCAAACAAAGTTCCTAAGGTCTTATTAGACCTAAGCCCTGTTAGGGTCTGTAAGCAAGTCAGGATGGCGCCTGGCATTAACAAAGCCCCAACAGCTGAAACTCTCCTTATGGAATTTTGTAGCAGCTCCAACCTGGGAGTTTGTCAGTCTAGTCTGTGCCAACAAAACTCCAGCCAACAGTACTTCCCAACCCATCTAGCTTATACTGGTAAGAAGGAAAGCTGAGAGTTCTTTCAACCATCTTCAGATTTAGGCTAATCCAACAGTCAGCTCAGCAAGCTACACAAAAAGAGGAAGAGGTTAACAACCCTCCATCCTTGATTTCTCTCTCTCTTTCTCTATGTAGCCAAAGAAGAAACACTAAGAAGGATAGTTGGGCATTCTCGTTGACTATGACTGACTCAGTGGAGAGTATGCCTTCATTTTTCATTATGAACCTTTTCTCCATTAATTTTTTTGTCATTTTTTTTTTCTGCTAGGGGTTTTTGCTGTGCTGATTAGTTCATGGACTTATATACACATTTGTGGTTTTTTTCCTAACTTTTAATGTAGTTATTTTTCTTTTGAGAGTTAGGGTTTTTGGTTTCTTTATTTTTGTTATGCTTTTGTTCCTATTTGTTTCTCTTTCTCTCCTCTCTTCTCCCACTCACAACCAAATTCTCTTGTTCTTTCTCTCTTTCTTGACTTTTTCCTCTATTTTTCATCCTTCCTTAAGCCTATCACCTGTCACATCTCTTCTACATTCTCTGTGTTCACTTTTTGAACATTTAAAATTTTCTTCTACCTTCCTGTATCATTTTCTTTTCTCTTAATATACTGCACTTTTGCCATCCTTTAGAACAAATTGGTTTCTATAATTCCTGTCCCCAAAATTCATGCTGTTGCAAATATTAGTGCTGTGGATGACACAGTTAACACCTTCTGTTTGCTTTAATGCCAGAACTAGTTAGTGGTTATTTATTTTTTTTGCTATTGGCAATTGCTGATCCCACAGTTCCTGTATTTTTGTGGTAACAAATGTTGTAGATATCACAGTAGGAACTGGGTGTTTATTTTAAGGCTGTATATTGTTTGCATCAGTTCTTGCTGTTTATTTCCCCCTATTATGTGAAGTCCTGGGAACCTACAGGGACACTAGAATTCACAGGATAGAGATTCTGCTGCTTAACTAAACTCAGCCAAAAGACATTACTCCTTACTCCACGCAAAATCAACAACATTTAAACTTCAGCTACACTTTAATTCAAGTAATAGAAGACACACAAACCCACATTAACAACCAGACCCCAAGTAGGAATGTCTATAGATGAGCCCTCAGAGCCCATTGATGGATACCCACTGCTGCAGCAAAAACAAAATTAACACAAAATTTGTGAAAACCACACCTACCAGGGTGTATCATTCCAGATCACTTTAGAACACTTTGGCAAGAGAAGGCTGTGCCACAATAGGAAAGAGAAATTCATTTCAACTGAGCAACATTAAGAAACCAAATGTAAGAATCATTGGAAGGATTATAAAATATAGGCTAACGGAATAAATAACCTCTTCAGGGAAGTAACAACAGAAAATTTCCAAACCTTGAGAATGAGATGGACATCCAGATACAGGATGCATTCAGAAACCCAAACAGACAAGATCATGAAAGAACCTGTCCATGACACACTTATATTTAAATTGCTTAACCTACAGAAAAATGATAGAATTTTAAAAGCCTCAAGAGAAAGATGTCTGCTCACATGTAGAAGCAAGCCAATCAGAATTACTTCTCATTTTTCAGCACAAACTCAGCACAGCATCAGGAAGCCTTGGAATGATGTGTTACAAGTCCTGAAAGAAAATAACTGCCAACCCAAGATTGCTATATCCAGTAAAGTCATCCTTCAAAATCAAAGAAGAAGTAAAACCCTTCCAAGATAAGCAGAAACTCAAATAATTTCTCACTACTAAGGTGTCAGTACAGAACTTGCTTAAAGAAATACTCCACAAAGAAGAAATAAAAAACAAACCCCAGAGCTCACAAATGAACAAGTCTCATTGGAGGAGTAGCTAAGCAAATGAGAAACAGAAAAAATTAAACATTAGAAATAAATCAAAATGGCAGGAATTAATGAACATTTTTCTATAACAACATTGAATGTAAATGGTCTTGATGCTTCAATTAAACGACATGGGCTAGCAAAATGGAATAAAAGCAAATATTCAACTATACATTGTTTGCATGAGACTCACCTTACTGCTAGAGACAGTCAAAGGTTGAAAGTGAAAGGATGGAAATTGGTGTACCATGCAAATGAAAAAAAACAGAAGTATCTACTTTCACACTCAACAAAGAAGATTTCAAACCAAAATTAACCAGAATAA